TCGCCGCCCTCCAGCAGCACTCAGGGAGCAGCCAAGGCGGGGCCCGCCGCGCCCCCGGGATCAGCTGCGCCTGCTCATCTGCATCCAGTCCCAGTGCCAGCGCCATGTGTGAGTGGGCCCGCCCGGACCCAGCCCGGCTGTCCCGGCTCCCGCATCCTGAACCCCCCCGCGCCCTGCTTCCTCCATCTCGGCTGCGTGGCCTGGGCCACCCGGGAGCCTGCCCCACCAGGCCTCCCATTCAGGGCCCAGGGGCAGTTAAGGACGTCCTCTGCGCTACTCCCCACACTCCCCCACTTCTCCCCAGCTGCCCCGGCACCGGCACCGACACCGGCACCAGCAGGCCGCAGCAGCGGCTTGTGTATAGCCCAAGAGGCCTTGGCTCACCAGAGCAGCACCGTCCCATGGTCAGGCCCGGGGCTCCCTGAGCCCTCCGTGGGTGAGGGCAGGACTGTGGGCCCCTGCCCAGTGCTGGTCGCGGGCCCAGGCACCCAGCAGGCTCACCCAGAGCTGGGGAAGGCATGCAGGGCGGGAAGCCCACAGCTGCTTGGCCTAGCTTCAGAAACGCAGGACGATTGGCCTGGACCGGCTCCCTAGTGTCACCGCAGCGCACCAGTCAGCGTCCTGGTCACTGCAGCTAGGCCTTTGCTGCCCCTTGCCTGGCCCCAGCCTCAGCTTTCTTACTACTGGAAACAGCTCAGACACCCCCTCCAGAGGGCAGCCCAGGCAGGGTGGCGGTAGCTGGGCTGGGAGCAGAGTGCGGTTGGGCCTGCAGGGCAGGCTGACCTTCCTGTCTCCGCCACAGGTCCCTCGAGGCTGTGACGGGCCTGGAGAGCAGCAGCGAGCTCTTCACCATCTCGGTGAACGGCGTCCTGTATCTGCAGGTGTGTGGCCCAGGCCCGGGCACGGAGACATCACCTGGGTGTGGGCCTAGGGCACTCAGTGAGGGGGGCTACTGGCGGGTGCCCGGCACCCTCGCAGCCCAGACGTGGGAGCTTCCTGCCCTGGCCACTCTCTATCCCCTTCTCGAGGGTGCTGTCCCCCAACGTCCAGACTTCCGAGCTTCCCGCGATGAGGGCGGTGCTCCCCAGGGGACCCGGTGGAAGGAGGGAAGGGGGGCAGTGGTCTGCCCGGGCTCCATGAGCCGCAGAAGCCACAGGCATAGCTCCCAGCTCTCCTGCGTGTGGACACTGGGTGTGTGGTAGGGAAATGATGCGAGGGTGAGACTGACTCAGAAGGGCAGAGTGAGCTGTGCTCAGTGCTTTCAGGTAGGAACCTCGGGATGCCCCTGCGGGGCTTTGGAAGTGTAGTGCATCCTTAGGCCCAAAATTCAACCTGCAGCTACAACAAAGATCTGTAGGTATGAAAAGCAGCTCCATGAGTGGAGTCTTTCTGCCAAAGTTCTCTGATATTCCAAGAAGTTCAGATTTTGGCTGAAAAACTACGTGCTTAACTCCAAAAGTAAGCTTTCGCTCGTGCAGTCAGGGCGAGAAGCTGGGCCGCTGGGCCGCTGGGCCCCAGGCTTGCTCAAAGGCCTCCGAGGTCTGGGCTGAGGCCTGCGCAGCGGGCCTGGGGAGTGCTCACGCTGAACCTGGCTCTTAGCAACTAGCAGATCCTCATGAGGCCTGGGGGTCCCAGGGGTCCCCCAGACCCAGAGCCTGGGCCACACTTGGGCAGCCAGGCCTGTCTGGCCTCACAGATGGCTGCCAGGTGGCCGTGGTCAGGGTCACGGAGGAGAGCCTCTCGGGCACTCAGGGAGGCCCTGCAGCGGAGCTTGCTCTGGCCGAGCAGGGGCTGCTCACATGCATGCGGGCTGTAGGGCACGCAAATCAGGTGCTAGGAGTCGAAGGTCTGGGTGTGAGGCCATGGCCGCCACGCCCTGCGCTGCAAGCATGAGCAGGCCACCTGCTCTGCAGCCGGGCCCTTCTCCCGCAGGTGTGGCCAGCTGGCCTCCGGGGTCCACCCCGGGTCTGCCCTTGACAGTGCCCTTCCCCACAGTCCGGACAGTACACCTCAGTCTTCCTGGACAACGCCAGTGGCTCCTCTCTCACGGTGCGCAGCGGCTCCCACTTCAGTGCTGTCCTCCTTGGGGTGTGAGAGTGGCCCCCAACCCCTCCTCTACGTGGACTAACAGCAGGGCTTCAGATGACATCCATGGTGTTGTGTGGTAGTGGCCCCGGCAGGAGGAAGCCCACCTGTAACCCTGCACACACAGGGCACTGCAGTCCAGCCGAGAACGCCATTGTGGCAGGGGGGCCCGGGGGGGCACACGCAACCCGGCA